CTGCTGTCCTGGTCCTGCAGTTCTTTTATCTTCAAACACTTCCGCATCTCCGGTGCTTTGAAAACTTTCCTTCTTCTGCAGTGCATCCCCTTTCTAACAGAGACACATATCCAGCAGATATTGAGAGACCCTTCAAATTCGGCAGGTATGAAGTTTACTATTAAAATCAATGAGTTGAGATCCGCAATGAGCTCTGACCTGATTGGGGGGGATATTGTTCTAGCTAGCTCAAGACGATGCACAAAAACATAAAAAACATTCTTGCCCTTGTTTTGGTGTGGGATTTGGAGAGGCGGAGGTAGCATCATACTGAGATATTAACGTTTTTTTTCACTGTCAACAGATGATATAGAAAACCATAAAATAAAAGTTGAGATATCCTATTCAACTCAAGGTCTTTTGAAGGTCATTGCTCAACTGCGGGCTTCAAACTCGTCATTAATTCCAGGACCTCATTTGTCTTGAATTAATGTATCCAATATGAATTATTAAGGATTTGCATGGCCCTCGTATCACATAGAGCAGTAACATTGGTTGATGCATGGTGCATGAATTAATCTGCAAACCACACATAGAAACCTATAAAATATGGAAAAGTCTTCAGCACAGCATCTTCTCAATGCAGGAATCTTGCATCTGCCATTATGTTAATTGTAACTGTTTTTTTACGCATGTAAAATACTTTATAAAGTTTTGGTTTAAATAGAAAGAAATTTAGACTATTCAGGATCAAGCTTAAATTTGGAAAACTGTTTCAGGAAATGAGAAAACTAGCAAATGAGATGAGTATGTAAGAGAAGAGAGGAAAATTATCAGGTGTGACTACACAAAGACACCAAAAAACAGAGGGACCATGTTAAATGATATAGGTTAAAACAAATCTTACTCCCAAATGCTGCTTCTCTCAGTTTGGAAAGTAAAAGTATTTGCTCTTCTTTGCAGGGGAGGGCTGATGCATCCTGTTAGAATCCTTTAGGTCAGGGGTGGGGAACCTTTGGCCCTCCAGATGTTGTGGACTATATCTCCACCGATGCTTTGCCAGCATTATGGCTGTAAGAGCATTGAGGGAAATGTAGTCCACATCTGGAGTGCTGAAGGTTTCCTGACCTTGCTATATATTGTAGTGCTGTAGTGGCCCCAGATGCCAATGAGAATGCTAAGGTCATGAATACTTGTTACAAATGGTTCACATGGTTCCAAGTAGATCCATACATGAACATATAGTGGGGTACATGCAACACAAATTATTTTCCTTTTTTTTTTTTTTTCTTTAAAGAGAAACTTGAGAGATTAAACTTTTAAACAGATCAACTTTCGTACACAGTGGTGCTTTGACAGCAGTTTAATATGTACTAAGTTTTGGTCGTGACATACTAGTTGATCCCTCTCTGTGGAGGACAGCATGGAACGTCCTAACATCAGAGTGTGCTTTAGTACCATTAGGACTGCATGAAACATCCAGCAATTTTGGTGTGAGGAGGGTTAAACATGGGTCATCAGTCTTGCCCTACTAACCAATTAGCTGTATGCAGCGCTTCAAGTGAATGCTGCATGCAGCTCTCTAATTCATTTTAAATCACTGTGATTCTAGGGCTGCTGAAGGGAGACCACCGGTGTCTGAATAGACCCTGACAAGGATCTCCCTGTATATCCTCAAGCTGAATGTTATCTGTGCTTGGATTTACCAGCTGCCCAGCATTGATCACAGTGTAATCAGCTGGCAAAGCATGATTGATTAATTCAGTGTTATAAGGAAATGGTCCTGTAATACTGAAAACAGACAGTAGATAGCAACATATCACTCTGTTTTAACTAGGAAGCCATCTGCTGATATCAGTACTGATATTAGCAGAGGGTTTACTGTAGGGTTAGGTAAGGTATGTATTAATGCAGTTTTCGAGTTAGGCAAGGTATATGGCTAGTGTTAGCACAGGGTAAGGTGTTTGGTTGGTATAGTGTTAGTGTTTTCCCCCCCAAACATTTGTTTATATCCTAGACGTATTAGGCATTTCAACAATCAGGACAGGTATGTGAATCTATTTTGAGTTCTTTTTAGTTGCATTGGACGTGTAAAAATGATTGTAAGCAATAATAATAATATTTTTCCCATCTTATTCACACTTAATGTTGTGTTAGGTATACATATAAGATATTAAAAGAACTGCCATCTCTGCCCTTACCAATATGTAATATTTACGGGGCACTTACTGAGAAATCCTTAAATTATGGTAATACAAATACTAGAACGGTTATTTACTAAAGGGAGAGTTCAAAGTGAGTTTGAAAGGCTAGAGTAGCCATACGTAAAATCTAGAGCTATGATGGGTAACTCTAGAACCTAAGCAGGCAGTATTAATCTACTAGTATCGTTATATATGAATGTAGCTTGGCTATAACAGAGTATGTTTGTTAAGAGAGTGTGTAGGAAAAATAACTAGCACTTTAGTTCCATGTCTATGGTTGCAAGTTGACAAACTCTAAAGAGCTTGGGGGTAGAGAAAGACAAGAAACCGTAGAAGACCATTCAAAGAGAGAGTGGCCATAATTAGGTACATTCCCAGGAGAACTTGGGTATGTTCATAAAACAAGTTGAGTGACAGCAGGAAAACAAGGCAGTGAGAAAGACTAAGTGACTGTCAGGTTTAAATACTGAGGGGACCGAACTGCATGTATATCAAGTAGCAATCCAGTGGTAGAGGCACAAGCTGTCTCCTGTAAGCCGACTGCACAGTTTGGAGTGGATACCGCTGTGGGCTTGTGTCATGTTCGGCTCTTGTTTTCATTACAGAATCGGATGCATGAATCCCTCAAACTGTTTGACTCCATCTGTAACAACAAGTGGTTTACAGACACGTCCATCATTCTTTTCCTGAATAAGAAGGACATCTTCCAGGAGAAGATAAGATGCTCTCCACTAACTAGCTGCTTCCCGGAATACACAGGTACACACCTGCCTGCAGGAATCTTTACATACACACGGCAGTGATGAGTGTAGCCTGAAGATAAACCTGCATTATTATCTGATTATTAGACAAACACACATACCTTTATGTGTACACATCACTAGAATTATTTGCTGAAACACACAACATGAGACCACCGCTGTGAGGGAAATTAGTCCTATGGTTAGGTCTACATTATTTATAGCACGTAACATAATGTGGAAGAATATATTCTCATTAAATTTCGTATATTATATAATTATTTCCCTCTGCTCATGCCTCACTCCCAACCTCCCTGCTCCAGGTCCCAGCTCATTCACCGAAGGCGTAGCTTACATCCAGCACCAGTATGAGAGCCGATGCAAGTCCCCCAACAAGGAAATCTACACCCACGTCACCTGTGCCACGGATACCAACAACATTCAGTTTGTGTTTGACGCTGTCACGGATGTCATCATTGCCAACAACCTTCGTGGTTGTGGCCTATACTGAGTTATAAGCTGTGAGAGTTCACCAGCCTGAGTTGTGGGTTCTGAGGCCATAGGAAGAAGACTTTATACCCTTTGGCAAAACCAGACTTGCCTGCCGTCTCTGGTTAAACGCTGTATGCCTGGACATATTTGCTTTATTCCTCTAAAGTCTAGAAAGGGAGACATAAATGGCTAAATGGACCTGTATTTATTGTTTCCCTGTAATCTGTATGGCTCAGATATTGTATCCTAATATGTTCCCTAGGTAAACATCAGTACATTGTCAGTGATTCACTGTTGGGTTACTTTCTAACTAGCCATGCTGTTCTCATGTAATGTATCCCACAAGGAAGACAAAGTGGTTAGTTGACAGTGTATTACAACTCTGAATCACCTGCCAATAGGCTGTCTACAATCTAGTTATCATACGTAACGCATTGCCTGCCTTGTTCAATGTTGAAGTGCCAAATCTGTGTATATTCTGAATGAATACACCAAAACACTGTGATCGGGACATTCGGTTCAACTTATGTATTGCACTTGAGGTACATAGGTGAATATAAATCATATATTATTATAAGTAGAATTTTATTTATTTAATTAACTGTTGATTACCAGATGAAAATTAATTTTACTGAGTGACTTTTTATTTCTCTGCCTTATCTATTCATTCTTAATGTGCACAACAAAATACTTCGTACGGTTAGTTTTTGATTTTTTTTTTTTTATTATTTTGTTTTTTCCTTTATTCATCTAGACAAACCATTGCATCCAAAGTAGAAAACACTATACTTTTTTTCTTCTTCTTCTTCTTCTTTATTCTTGGTACATATGAGCTTAGTAAGTTATGTGAATAAACTGTTAAACAGCACATTACTGGATTGAAGTATCTCTCGGTAACATATGGTCAGGGTTGAGGTGGATGGTCTGTTGTTACAGTGGCAAATATATTAGCAGAGTTACTTGTGCAGATGTCAATCTATCCAGAATAAAGAGTAGTGTTACATTTTACATAGTTACATAGGCTGAAGAGACATGTGTCCAGCTTATTTGGTTTAGGATTGTTGTTTAATTACATCAAACGCTCTTAGATTGGTTATCCTCGCGTACGGAGTAATGCTCACGGAATCTGAATGTAGTACTCGTTCCTGGTATTCTGACGCAGTGAATTTGATGAAATCATAAATAATGTATTGCTCTGAAGCACAGACATTAAGGGTTAATTGCATTTCATCAAGTTTGACCATTACGCCGCTCACCCTATTTAATTTTACAGAGATTTGGTCCATTTTTAATTTGAGGATGATGCTTTAAAATTCAATGAATGGGTTTCTTTTTGTCTAAATAAATGGACAATGTATGTGAAGGTAGACCAATTGTTCTAACAAAACATCTTGTATGACTGTATCATACCTTAATATATTACCCAACATTTACCGTGTGCATTGAATGAAGCGTAATTACATTCATGTGTAGCTTCTAATTGCTTTCCTTCTTTTGTTTTTTTACACTGGTAACAATTCCTCTCCCCTCAGCCTAACTCCTTTTTTCTCCTTTCTTTCTGTCCTCCGCCTCCTCTCTCTAATGCCTAATCGCTGCAGAACCGGATGCACGAGTCTCTAATGCTGTTCGACTCAATTTGTAACAACAAGTTCTTCATAGACACCTCCATCATTCTCTTCCTCAATAAGAAGGACCTGTTTGCAGAGAAGATCAAGAAGTCTCCATTGACCATTTGCTTTCCAGAGTACACAGGTATTATTTTTATACTTTGTAAAGTGCCAGCGCATTCCACAGTGCTGTAAATGGGTACAGTTGGTACAAGTAAAAAGATATGGGTACAATACATTTGACACAATACAAAATTTGACAAACAACCAACTCCTGTGGGAACTTCTAATTTAGATGGAAAGAATTGATGTTACGTTAAAGACTTTAATCTAGTTGCACTGGAGTCCATGTTGACTAAAAAGCTATGTGTTCGCTGCCATGTTGCCGCGAATGCACTTCAATTTGTAATGTGGTCTAATCAAAAGTGAGGAATGGAGAATTTTCATTGTGCAAATTTAGTATCTCAAAGTTTAGGATGCTGCCACTCATATCACAAAGTCATAAATGTACTCCAGAATTACAGTGAAAATGGTACTTTAAAAGATTATACAAGTTTATTCAGTGTGCTGGGAACTGACCAATTCTGACATAACATGTTCAATTCCTAGTTTAGTGACAGGGATGTGATTTTTAATTTATTTTTTAATAATCTACTTTAGCAAGGGATTAAAGTGTTAACCCCAAAATATTCTGAGATTAAACCTGAATGGAAAAACTGAGGCAAACAAGAAAGCTAATCTGAAAAAATCTCCAATCTGCTACAGTCAACGTTTTGCCTCAGTTTTTTCATTCATATTTAATTTAGGAGAGTTTGTGAATAACTCTGAGTATCTCACCCTATGTCGTCCATCCCCCCCCCCCTCCATGGTGGGTGGGTGTACAGCCCCCATCCTGCTTACCTTTTTGGATGGGGAGTGCCTATGATACATGTACTCTACTCCTTGTGCAGACCACAGTAATCACTCCCTCGTGATCCTGGCATTCAGTAAGTCAGAATGCAGGCTGGGAATGCTGGCAGTATTCTAATGCATTATTGAGCACTGGCCTGTGGTGGAGCAATTAATGTGGTCAGCACCTGCCTGATGTGACATCCCAGGCAGCACTGTGCTAGCCCACAGCAGAGTTTAAAAGGATAATAATAAAAAAATAAAAAAACACTTGCCTGTCTGGCGCACGGAGCTATATGCACAGGTATGACTATACAAATTCCCCATTCCTGCGTGACCATGAAGCTAAAGACTAATTTAGTGAAAGAGATTACATAGTTACATAGCTGAAAAGAGACTTGCATCCATCAAGTTCAGCCTTCCTCACATTTGTTTTTTGCTGTTGATCCAAAAGAAGGCAAAAAAAACCCAGTTTGAAGCACAATTTTGCAACAAGATAGGAAAAAAATTCCTTCTTGACCCCAGAATGGCAGTCAGATTTATCCTTGGATTAAGCAGTTATTACCCTACGTTGAAAGATTATATCCTTGAATATTCTTTTTTTGCAAGTATGCATCTAGTAGCTGTTTGAACATCTGTATGGGCTCTGATAAAACCACTTCTTCAGGCAGAGAATTCCACATCCTGATTGTTCTTACAGTAAAAAAACCTTTCCTTTGCCTTAGACGAAATCTTCTTTCTTCCAGTCTAAACGCATGGCCTCGTGTCCTATGTAAAGTCCGGTTTGTGAATAGATTTCCACACAATGTTTTGTATTGGCCCCGAATATATTTGTATAATGTTATCATATCCCCTCTCAGGCGACGTTTTTCTAAACTAAATAGGTTTAAATTTGTTAACCTTTCTTCATAGCCGATATGTTCCATTCCTTTTATTAATTTTGTAGCCCGCCTCTGCACTTTTCTAGTGCCATAATATCCTTCTTTAGAACAGGTGCCCAAAATTGCACAGCATATTCAATATGGGGTCTTACCAGTGATTTATAAAGAGGCAAAATGATATTCTTGTCCCGAGAATGAATGCCCTTTTTCATGCATGACAATACCTTACTGGCCTTGGCCACTGCTGATTGGCATTGCACATTGTTGCATAGTTTGTTGTCTATAACAATTCCCAAGTCCTTTTCGTGTGTTGTTATCCCTAATTCGCTTCCATTAAGGGTATACGTTGCTTGTGTATTCTTTACGCCGAAGTGCATAACTTTGCATTTTTCAACATTAAATTTCATCTGCCCTTTGAGTGCCCAGTCTATCTAAATCCCTCTGCAGCAAAATAATATCTTGCTAACATTGTATTATTTTACCAAGTTTTGTGTCATCTGCAAACACCGAAACATGACTTTCAATGCTGTCTTCAAGATCATTTATAAACATGTTAAATAGAAGGGGTCCCAGAACAGACCCCTGAGGGACACCACTTGCCACCTCTGTCCAAAATTTACCATTAATGATGACTCTTTGTACTCTGTTTTTAAGCCAATGTTCTACCCATGAACAAGCATTTTCATCTAGACCAATTTCCTTGAGTTTGAACACTAATCTATTGTGTGGAACTGTATCAAATGCCTTGGCAAAATCCAAATAGATCACATCCACTGCAACACCCTGATCTATACTTCTACTTACTTCTTTGTAGAATGCAATCATGTTAGTTTGACATGACCTGTGCTTCATAAAACCGTGCTGATTTTTGCTGGTAACCATGTTCTTCTCAAGGAATTCTTGAATATTATCCCTTAATAACCTTTCAAATATTTTACCAGCCACAGAAGTTAATCTCACAGGTCTATAGTTTCCAGGCAAGGATTTTGAACCCTTTTTGAATATAGGAACCACATCTGCCTTCCTCCAATCCTCCGGAACACTTCCTGAAAGAAAAGAATCTTGAAAGATTAAAAACAGAGGTTCACTTATTTCTACACTTAGTTCCTTAAGTACACGTGGATAGATACCGTCAGGCCCTGGAGCTTTGTTTATATTAACTTTCTTTAGTTGCTGCAGCACCTTGTCTTGAGTTAACCCCTTAACGCCGTTACGGCGTTCTATGCCGTCCCGCATTAAAAGGGCTTTAAAGCCGTTGCGGTGGCATAGAACGCCGTAACGGCTTTGAGCCCCAGCAGGTCCGGTGGACTTACCTCCGCCGCGATCCTCTTCTGGAGGGCTGCCTGACAGCCCAGGCAGCCCTCCCCTGGCAAATGAGGCCCCCGGGGGCTATGTGATCGCTCTTAAAGAGCGATCACATGCCCCCCTATAGCTGGCTGTGGATCTGACTTGTGACTAAGTGGCTACTAAAAAAGACTAAACATACCCCACTTTCAATACCTTGGGTTGTCTACTTTTTCAAATGGTATAACATTATGGGGGTAATTCTCATTCCTGGGCTACCACACCATCTCAAAGGTAACATTACTAATCTGGCAAATTTCAATGTGAAAATGGAACGTTCTATATTTGACCCTGTAACTTTCCAAAACACCATAAAACCTATTAATGGGGGGTACTGTTGTACTCGTGAGAAATCGCTGATTGGAAATATGTGCATTTTATTGCAGTAAAACCTAACACTATTATGACATTCACAGCTAAAATGTCAGACGGAAATACAATTTTTTTTTTTTTAAATCTTATTTTCTCACATTTTTTTACATTTTATTCATAATAAATTATGTTCCATATATGAATAGTTAATGATAAATTAAAGCCCTGTTTCTCCTGAACAAAATGATATATAATAAGTGTGGGTGCACTTAATGTGACAGCGGTGAATTACGGGTGAACAGACATATAGCGCAAATTCCAGTTTTTGTTTACGTTTTGTTTTGATCAGAACGTGTGCTATTGACTCCGTCCTGAAGGGGTTAACCAATTACAATTATTCTGCAAGTTTTTAGTAGCAATCATTTGCACATCTATTGCCATGGGTTCTTCCTTAATATATACGGAGGAGAAATAGTTATTTACCTACACTTTCATTTTTGGGTTTTTTAGAATTTATGTACTTAAAAAAATGCTTTGGGGTTGGTTTTGCTCTCTTTAGCTATCCTTT